AACCATTCTCCTGTCCTTTTCTCCGTCCTCTTCCTTCTCACACTGACTCCATCTCTACTTGCACGCCCAGCCACAATATAGCTTTCACAACAGGGCCATATAGGAGTCAGCTTTTTTTCAACCCTTAAGCCCTGTTCTATTTTGATCTTCTGCCTTAGTCCGAAGCTTCTTTTCTGCCTTGTTCCACTCCCCAAGTTTCTTTTCTAACTTCAGCATCTGCTGGGCCATCTGTCCTTGAACCCTAGGTCAGAGCCCGAGTCCCTCTGTCCGTTGACAACTGCGAGCTGCTCTGGCAAGTATTACCTGCCCCGGGGTCCCTGAGCCTGTACTCATCACACCTGTCAGGACACTCCCTGATCACGCTCGAACCCTTCCTCCACTCCTTACGGACTGAGGACTGCCTGGGTCACACGCTGCTATACAGCCAGCCTGCAAACATAATCTTCTCCTTTAGTCAAACAGCTGCTGTTCAGTTCCCATGGAGTTCACGCTCCTTCCCGGAGTAAGAATCCTTCAATCCCATCCAGCCCCTGCCTCCTTGCCCTATCCTGTCCCACGGAACCAGTCAGGCCTGGGGGAGAGTAACAGGAACAAACAGATCTCTTACTTGATGAACATAATAAACACTTTCCTCCCAGAGGCGAGAACACAATCTTTCTTAAACTGGTGCTCATTCTAGCATTTTGGAAACCTTTGCTGAATCCATCACCGAGATCCCTAAAGATAGAAGAAGTAAGACACTCTGACAGCATCACACAGAAAATTGGCTACAATCTCACAGCATGAGAAAACACACTGCTGAGTGGGGATAATGCTAAGTAACAATGGGATGATCTAAAGAGAGGAGCCTATGAATCATAGGAAGACACAGTAAATGTTGCAGGCAAATTAAGTAGCACATTACACATTTTAGGAGCGCTCAGGGAAAAGACCAAAGTGTACGATGGAATTAAGATACGAGAAATGTGTTTGCTCAAAGCCTGAATCCAAGAAAGCAGACTGCTGGAAACTGTGAAACTCAGGAGCTGCTATTAGACAAGTAAATTAAAAATTCTTGAACAGCAAATTCAAAAAATTTTACCTCAGTTCCTACAAGATATTTTTTAAATAATTTTTTCTCATAAAAGGGCATCTCAATAAAATAAGAATATCTATTTTTAAAAATTACAATAACTGAAACATGGAAAATGAAAAGATGAGTTTAAATCCAAATTCTGATCATTTAATAGGGTATATGAGGCTATGAACAAGAAACCATTTTTCCTTTGTAATAGTAAACATAATTTAAATTTTCAAAGGCTTGGTTAATAATAAATAATTTTAAACTCTAGTATGTCTGCTTTAAATCTTCAAATTTTATAGTTATCATCATATAATATCTCTGATATTATAACGCAATTGCAATTCATAAACTAGAAGAAATGATTCTAATGCCTTAACAGAAAATAATTTAAACCAGGCCACTTAAAGGGAGAATAACAAGGGAATGTTTTTTAATAACTTAGAATATAAATTGGAAACTAATTGGAAAATAAATCTCCAAAACAAATGTATAAATAAGCACCAAATCACTTGGATGATGCTACTTGAGATACTTAATATTTGGGACACAGGAAAACTTTCTAAATCCAAGATGAGTCAATTTTGTGAATTGTGGGTAGATCTGTGGTGCTAGAATTTTGAAGCCTACAGTATCTTTGCTACACTTCCGAATCCCATATAATCCAGAGAGGGAAAATCCCCTACCTCCTTAACAAGACTGCCGAAAGTAATGGCTGCAGCAGGGAAGTTGACAAATCCGGTTTCTGCCTCCAGCCATGAGGAACGGACCATGAGAAACAGTAGGACATGTAGGGACCTTCCTACAATGTTCTCTTTAACTAGGTAGCTAAGCCCCTGGTCAGGGTGGGCTCATGTGCTGGGGGCGAGAGGACTGTGAGGAAGAGATGTGCCTGTTAACTACCAATTTCCCCACTGTGAACAGTTCCATCATTGCTGCCAGGCTTTCATATAATCCGCTATTTTTTATACACGATGTGATAAAACATGGAATCTTATAAGTTATGTATGTGATCAAGCTTCCCATCGGAGGAAAGAAAACACTTCCCTGACTTTCATCAGCCCCAGTACTGTCCCTGGCTCGATCCTTTCTTCCAAAGTCATTCTGTCCACTGCACTGTCCCATGTCTTCCAACCCTCCCATCTCCCCCTACCATCTGTCCTTTAGGTTGGTCTAAAAAATCAAGTGCATGGACAAGGATGTCACGGAGCAGGGCTCGGCACGGATGAGTGTGGAATCTGAGAGCCTCCAACAGTATGACCAGCTGCTCCGAGGGGCACGTCGACATTACGGACAGATGAAACTTCCACGCAAATAGCACTGCCCTCTCTCTCTCAACCCAACTATGCTTTTTCAAATAAAAAGCATGAATAGTTTTGATTCCTTTTCACTGAGGTTGAGGTAACAGAGAAAAAGGCCCTGTGAATAGAAGCTGCCTCTCTCAGAACACCTGACCTCCAAGAGCCTCTGGCAGCATGCTCAGCCCAGCGCACCTTCTTCAACCCCCAGGTCCTCCTGCCCCTAGACGTACACCTCTCACAGTTAGCATTTTTAATAAAAGCCTGTAATTTGTCAAGCAAGAGGGTTGCAGACTGAAAAATGCTGCTTTTATTTTCCCAATCCAGGGTTCACCTGGGTTGGAGTAACTGCTCAGGTGAGAGCACATGAGTGTATTACTGGGTGCTTTAATTAATAAATCAAAAATATCCTTCCACCAGCAGGCTACTCACATTCACTTTTGCTTCCCTATTTGAGTTCCTCTCTCATCTCATTCCTCTGCTCTCTTCACCTCAAGAATCCTGTAACTGGTCACCACCCTGCAGTGTGGACAAGTTTAGCTCTCGGCTTCTTTCTCGTGGAACCCATCTCTTTGCGGCACTCAAGCTTTACCATCATTATCCATTTAGTGGCAACAAACTTACTCAGGAAAATCCAAAATATCTCCCACCGCTCACACGGCAAGTCCACCTTTTAACCCTTTCCATATTGTTGATTTGCCCGAGAAGACTGCCCCGTAAGGTCAAAGGCTAAATAAAAGATTAGGTATGTACACTTAAAAAAAAAGAAACAGAATGAATTGCACCATTTTCTAAAAGATAGCTATAATATCAACACTTTCAATAAACTTGACTTTACTGAAGATCCTATAGATGGAGCGAAGCATGTAGCTACAGTAGCTCCATGTGGTCTGAACAGGTTTCTGAAGCTTTGGCCTCTTTCACGCTGCACGATCCTCAGGGACGAACAAAAATCTAAAGGGCAGCTCATCCTTTCTGATTATGTAAAATGCTTATGACTCAACTGCCAGCAAATGCTGCGAGCATTTGCATATGCTGCCAATCGTTACGCGAGGCGTCTTCACCCCTTGACTGAGCTTGTTTGGTTGCTTTTGTCCCGTGGGAATTGTTGAATCAGACTAACAAGGACCACATCTTACACTAGATTCTATTTACCACATACTCCAACTGTTATAATATCAACTTCTCAACATCTTTTAAGACTACTGTAAAAATGATTTTCTACAGGGAAAATTTCTAGGTAATTTGAGATATCTGAAATTAGAATTATGATTTCCTCTTATGGAGAAAATAACAGCAGATAAAAATCCCCAGCAAAATGACCAATTTAAAAATATGGATGCAGGTTCCAAAAAGTTCTCTGTTTTCTTGCTCTGAAATAAAAATTCTGTATTTCATTGCTTTTGTGTTTGCCTCAAAGTTTATAAAGGCATTAAGACATTAGTGGTGGCATTATACATACTATTCTTTTGTTCAGCAAGAAAAAGGCTGATTTAATGATATTCCAAGAATCTTTGTGGCCTATGTCAAAGACTAGGCAATGCCATGAAAAGTTTATATAGTTATAAAATATTTGCATTTGCTTTACAGATAACTTATTAATGACTTGTTAAAGTAAGCATAAATATACTTGAATCATAAGCTTACAAATTCTATGGAGATGTGAAAGAAAATTGTGCATGGAAAGAATGTTTAAAAGGTAGTTGATAGGCAAAGTTTTCAAACAGACATTCAGTAATAGTTTTCTAAGAAAAACAAGTGAAATAAAAGAAGTTAGAATTCATAGACTTCTTAGTAGCCTAATAACACACTAAGTATAAAGTTCAGTTTTACATAGAGAACGACGTCTTGGCCATTTCAACTATTTGATGTCCAGGGGAATAAATTTGGAGAGTTTTGACCCATTTACTTTGTGAGTTTATTATTAAAAAGATTGGTGAAGATACAGACTTCAAAATTCCCCAAGCCTTCTGACAGTGTGGTCAGCTGTGAAGTGAACCCAAATAACTAAGATAGGGAGCAGGTGGTGGGAAGGCAGGGAGAGGGAAGGATTAGGGAAAATGTCTACAGTTTGATGTCTGCCTTCGTTGGAATTGGAGACAATAGGACTGTCCCATGCATGGGGTTGACCTGAAAACAAAACACAATCCCAGGAACTGAAGGAGAAGGTGGATGACACAGCTCTGAGTGACCACCTTCTCTGGGCACTCACACACTTACTCTTCTTTACAGACCAATTTTACAGTGAGACTTATCAGTATCTCAAGCACTAAAAATGCATTCATTAAACATATGGTACTATTAAAGGTGGTGCTACATATAGTCCCTACCCCAAAGGAGTAAAATCTCTTTTTCAGAAATAACAAAATCTGAGAATCACTAGTAAAACCAAAAAGAAAACAACACATTTTCTTGTTTAAATTTCATTCTATTTTGTGAACATTTTGTAACAAGCCGTAGGACAGCTGAAATATAAATGATCCTTTACAAACATGTCAGCATTATTTGGGGAAGAAAAAAGTCTCCAATAAGATTTCAAAACACACTTTTGGTCTACAACCATGTGTTCGACAATTCGAAACCACCAAAACAGAAACAGAAGAGTTAACATTTCATGTTGGAATTTTTAAAAAAATACTTACACTATTGGCTTTTCCAGGCGACTTCCCTGTGAACCAACAATTTCCCCCAATGTACAAAACACTTGTCCCAGAAAGTCCTACAATAGATAAAAGGATTAAAGCTCATAAGTTCCCAAACTGTCTTTATGCATTTTCTATATCATATTTGCATTGTTTTCATTGCTGAAATACTCAAGTCTCTAACTTTGACTAGTAAATAAAATTAGCTCAATGTGCATTAACTTTAGGCTGTGATTTTCCTCTATGTTTGCACAGTCTGTGCTTTTGATAGAAGGCTTCTTCTATCAAAGCCTCACAGAGCAGGCTGCTTATTGAGGCTATTTAAACATGCATTTCTTTTCTTTTTTAAATTAAAATGAAAACTCAACAAAGTTCCAGGATTTCAATTCACATGGGCGTGCCTTTGCATGTCTCTGAAATCACCAACTTTTGGCTGAGGAGGCACTCTGTGAAGCACAGAGCACTGCCAGGTAACTAACAGTACTGGCTACCACGCACAGAGAGGTTGCCGTGATACCGCGGTCACAACTGGGGCCCCCAGGCACACTCCCAGTCTGTTCCATACAACCACACAATACCAGGGCAAGAACCAAGGGCAGGCTGCCTGAGAGGTGCCATTGTGACAGGCAGATTATTTTGAGCTAAGAAACCATCAAGACCCAAAAGACTCAGAAAGAAAACTTGGACCTGCCCTCCCTCCCTCACCACCACATAAAAAGAATTGAGATGGAGGAACCACTCCAGAAAGAGAGCCGCCAACACAGAGAGCTGTCTCCCAGTGTACACGGGGCATGGTGGATGGGGAGGGATGGGGCTGTGCCTGTCCAAATTCCTCTCTGTGCCCCTACCTGGTTTCTGTGTGGCCCACCAAGAGTCTTGTTTACCAAACACTTTCTCTTTTTATATTCCAGTGGATTACTTTCCTTTTCCTTTGAAGTCTCAGACCCTTACCCACTCCTTGGTTAGGAAGATACATGTATCTCATTCTTCCTGACTGTCTTTGGAACCCAGGGCTTCCCCATATGTATATATTTAACCTTTGTTTTTTTCTCCTGTTAATCTGTCTCATGTCAGTTGGATTCTTAGACCAGCGGGGAGACACCTCGAAGGGTGGAGGAAAGTTCTTCCTCCCCAACACCTGTGACTGGGCCATTAAGCTCCTCAGTTACCCCATCACTGACATGTGACAGTTTCCCTCACACAGTCACTTTGAGGGTTCAAGTGAGGTAACGCAGGAACATGGGGCAAGCACCATGATTCATTTTTCCTGACTATGGTGAAAAATGCTGAGCTATAGTTAGACGAGCAGGAGGTGCTCCATCTTAAAGCTAAGATTTCATTTCAAACACAACTGACTCTATCTTAAGGCAGGGCAAGTAGTTCTAAATGATATGTTTCCACTTCTTGAGGGCAACCACTGTCTTGGAGAAGAAAAGGATCAATACATTTCTTGTGTTAAGTTTATCTCACAGCATATCTAGAGGCCTGCTCATGCTAATTCTCTGTCACTGGAGATAGACATCAGAAACCACAGTCCCTTGGCCCTTTACCCCATTCTTGAAAACCTTAAAAACCCAAATCCTAGGCTTTAAGCACACCTGTCTTCTGAGGCTGCCCACTCTCCCCTTTCTTTGAGTGAGTACTTTGCCTTAAATAAAACCCCCTTATTGCTCAGCTTATTGTGTTTTGTCTCTGTGCTCTTTCCAGCCTGCCAGGAGGTTAAGAAGCGACCCCTTTCCCAGTGGTAAATGGCCTTGTCACTTTGGTATTTCATACAATTTTCTAGTCTTAAGCATAAGTCCTCTCTCTCTCTCCCCACTACTTCTGACAAGTAGGGAAGGGCTTCCAAGATCTCTGATAATGGGCTTGAAAGTTCCCGCTGCCCGCGTGACCCAGACGGGATGGCGGCTGTACAATTATGTTCATCAGCAGCCTGCCCCAAATCTCCTTTCTTTGCTTTGGGAAGTTCTCAGAACATAATCTCACTCCCTCCAGTGCTCTGTGGCTCCCCCAAATCCTGAGGGTGGTAGGGGCTTAGTTCCCACACCGTGCAGATGCAAGCGGACACTCGAGGCCAGGTGACCCTGGCTCCAGGAGTTGGCAGGGGATCTGCCCTGCGCCCAGCGGGACTTCAAAGAACTTTGCTTTCCTCCTTCTGCTCTTCCTTGCTCTCTGCTGCCTGCGTGGCTGCTGCCATTCACTACCACTCTCGCTGCAACAAATTCCTTCCCTCCCTACGCTCCTCTGACCTGTCCAAGAATTCTTTCTCTGTCAGAGTCAAGAACCTCTCCCGGGATGAGGTCTCAGCAAGCATGCAGGGAGACCTCCTGGACAGGGTTGCCCCACGACACAATGAGCTGTCACCTGAGTTAATATGAGTATATATATTGTTTAAAAAAAGCACACAGACCCAATACAGTGTCACTTCTGCAAGGCCAAGTTACCAAACCAGGGCCAAATATTTAAAGCTAATTACAGTTTCAACCTCCCTCAGAAATACAGTTAGCCAGGAATTTCCTGGTCAGCATCACCAATGAAATAATCAGTCACCTAAGCCCTCCCCGTCTGCCCTAAAAGAAGATGGGGCAACGTGCATCATAAAATCCCATCCTTTCCCCCTAAGAGAAAGAGGCTTGCCTAAAACAACCCATTCTTTTATTTTGCTAATAACTTGCCGCCTTCTTCTTGCCTATAAACACTTTCCATTTTGCACAATTCCTTGGAGCGTCTCTACTTGCCAGAGGGGAGGCTGCCCCATTCATGAATCACTTAACAAAGCCAATTAGATCTTCACATTTACTTGGGGGGGTATTGCTTTTTTAACAGTATTAAGTGCCTACAAGTGGGTTAAGCATAATACATTATAAAGTTCATTAATGTACAACTACATGAATCTTATTTTCACGACTCAGAATGACCTTGCCAAATGAGAGGTCTATTATTGATACTTCATTTCATATATATAGAAACTAAGCACCTGAGAGGCTTGTTTTTCCACACCTTAAGCAGTTAGTAAACAGCAGAGTCAGGACTAACCCAGATTGGCTGATTCTAGATTGATATGCTGCCTACGAATTTAAATATCATACATACGATGCAACTTCACATGCCAATAAAATAAGGACTCCAATACAACCCAAAAATGTGAATCAAGAAAATATGGAGGTGTTTCAGCAAGAGATTCTCACCAGCTGATTCCACTCTGTCCTGGGAAAGACGTTGGAAGACCTCCCTAAACTGTACCATGAACTGGCCCAGGAGAAGCCCTAAGAAGGATGAACAGAGGAATGACAGCAAACAAGATGTTGTTTTAGGTTTTACTAAATACAAATGTACAATTTTAGGTAGAAAGATAGACATGAGCAGCCAGGGAAGGGGAAGATAATGTTTAAGGGATAAAACCATCCAGGTAGGGGTCCCACATGAAGACAAAAAAGACTTTGCAGGGAGATAACTTCCTTGCCTAATGCGTCTAGGCTAAACTGGCTCCAACCGGCTCCTAACACAGGCACAGTGGAGCAGAACTAAGGACTGCCCAAAGCACACCTCATCGCAATCTCATTAAAATAAAACTGCCATTTTGCTCCCACTCCACCATGGGCTTTTCTGTGTGCATTCTGGGAAAAGACACGTGCACCGAGAGGAATGGGTGTAGAACTAGAGCTATCAATCAAACAACCTACCCTGTCAGTCAAAGACGCACCGCTCAGCCAGGATGTGATAAATAGACCCTCCCCTAAAAGTCTGGGGCCTTTGTCTACCTCCACTCTGGCCTGCTCCTCCCTTGAGTGTACTCAAATGAAAGTTCACTCTGCCTCGCTATTCTGTCTCTGCCTTTTAATTCTTTGTTTTTGGAGGACAAGAACCAAGGAGAACAAACTCAACCTGCAACATATTTGGGGCCATGACTTAGACTGCTACCCTCCCCATTAAGGTGGGCTAAATAAAAGCCTCCTTCAGCTTAACCCTCTCTTGGGTCACTCCACTGCTTCCCTTCAAGAAGTCAAGAACCAAGGAATTCACAATCCACCGCCTGGTAACACAATGCCTAATAAAAGTAAAAGCAGAACCCAGACATGTATTTCTTCATTCGTTGCTGCCTTCCCCAGGCTCTCCTTCCTGAGCAGGCTGACCTGCTTCATGTCCACGCAAGGAACATTAACCTTGTCCTGTCCTTGGCCCTGTTCCCAGAGGCTGGTTACAGGACTGGGGGTCTGTTGGCTGAGGGCATTGGTGTTGCAGAGCAGACACCAGGTGTGGAGGCAACATGAGCCATGCCAGGGCCCCTCGAGTGGTTCCAGGAAGATGGGATTGGCACATGATGCCAAGAAGTTGCCAGGCCCTTCCAGGTTCTGCCCTAACTTCCTTCGCCATAGTATATACCCCAGCCACGGCCCCATCAGGTAAGGTGATTTGGCAAAGGTCCCCTCCCTTCTCACGGACTGTCCTTCTGATAATAAAGCTTTCTCTGCTTCACACCCAGGCATGCAGAGACTGGCTTACTGTGCATCCAGCATGTGAATCCAGATTTGGGGGTTCAGTAACAAAACCATGCTATTTGGTGAAAAGAGGAAAAAGAGTTTCAGGAGGGAAGAAGAGCATGACGGACTAGGGTCATCAGGGTGTATTTTCCTAAAGGAAGCGAGCCTTGAGGGCCAGCCACGAATCAGATCCCGGGAAGAGAAGAGCTGGTCCTTCTGCCTGAAGGGTAGCAGCACTTGCCTTACCAAATATGCCTGTTATAAGGACTATTTCAGGCTAATTATTTTTAGGAAACTCCGCAGACACAGGAGAAGCTCAGAAAACTGAGAGAAGTTACCTTTTTATCAGAAAAATTTACCTTTACATGAGAAATCTCTATCTGTAAGAACAACTCTCCTCTGTACAAGGAATGGGGGGGGGGGCGGAATGACTCCATTGTTATCCGTGGAGAAGGTAGGGACATAAATCTGCATATCCACCACACCCCGTTTACTGGGCATTTCCTGGTAACCTCCCATAACTGAGTTCCCACACCCAACATCTTCTTTCGTCTTCGGTAGAAGCGGTATTTAAGGTGATGGTTTTAGCCGTTTTG